TGAGGACAGAGTCTCACTTTGTTGCCCAGGCTAGAGTGAGTGCCGTGGCATCAGCCTAGCTCACAGCAACCTCAAACTCCTGGGCTCAAGTGATCCTCCTGCCTCAGCCTCCCCAGTAGCTGGGACTACAGGCATGTGCCACCATGCCCGGCTAATTTTTTGTATATATATTTTTAGTTGGTCAATTAATTTCTTTCTCATTTTAGTAGAGATGGGGTCTTGCTCAGGCTGGTTTTGAACTCCTTATCTCGAGCGATCCGCCCGCCTCAGCCTCCCAGAGTGCTAGGATTACAGGTGTGAGCCACTGCATCTGGCCGAGACCTTGTCTCTCTTTTTTTTTTTTTTTTTTTGAGACAGAGTCTCGCTTTGTTGCCTAGGCTAGAGTGAGTGCCATGGCGTCAGCCTAGCTCACAGCAACCTCAAACTCCTGGGCTCAAGCAATCCTTCTGTCTCAGCCTCCCATGTAGCTGGACTACAGGCATGAGCCACCATGCCCGGCTAATTTTTTCTAATATATTAGTTGGCCAATTAGTTTCTTTCTATTTCAGTCGCCTCGTATAGTGAAATAAATACATCCAGTACCTTTATATGTGTCATCATCAGTCATCTTCGCTCAGGTGGTTCTTGAATTTCTTTCTATCATTCAACTACTGCACTTATCTATACCAGACCATCCAATTCACAAATCGCAAAAATTTCGCCCTCCAGCCTTCACCTCTTCTAGAGCACCCTGCCAATAGGACAGAGCAGCTAAGTGTACGCTTACCATTTGCGGCACGCACACGAAAACCTTGTCCTCTTAAACAAAACAGATATAACAACATTCATTATCTCAATGTCATATCTCGCTCCTTTTACATTAAACATCCAAAATAATCGATTTTCACAATAACTTCCAACTCAAGTTACAAAATATAAGGATCTTAGGCCAATTCATGTGCTATTTTGTATCTTTTATCTCCACTCTCCTTCTCTTTTGTAAGTAGTCTTGAAGAAAATACGCTTATCTTACCAAAAGCTAGTATACACCTTTTCCCTCTCTAATTAGCCTTTTGAGATCACCCATCTGACCACCTACCTGGTACGCTCAGATATTGCCATATGTTACCGCAGATCACCCAACCATACACTGTGGAAATATCTACGCTCTCAATATGGCCTACCATATTGTAACATTCCTTATCCACTGGTGGTATTCCAACCGGGCAACACCCATTCCACAACAATGCATGGCTTAATGTTATTTTATGATCGTAATACTTTCCCGCGCACTTTTTCACGTGTATCAACATGAGAACTGATCAGTCGCCACCCATACTAGCTCTGCTCCAGATTGATTTTCCTAGGTTCAATGTTGTGATAAAAATGGCTTCCCCTCCTAATGGACTACATGAAGGAATAACTCCCCTTCTCAGATTCTCTGCATGTCCCTCTCCACCCATAATACTCACCTTTCCCTAATTGTCAACAACAAGTACCTTTGTCTGATTGATGCTCTATTACTACTTGTCATTTTATGCTATATGTCAGTAAACATCAAAAATGCAAGCTACTGATGATCCATGCGCATTTATCCTGTAAACATCTTCATGCCAAAACTCAGTACAATAGATAAATCTCATTGGGGTCCAATACTGCCCACATACTCCCCCATGTATAAAATATATAATTCCCCCTCTTCATTACGCCCTGATTGGTGCTGGTTAACTGTGCGCCAAATCTGTATCTCAAATAAGATAGCTTAGCGTGTTTCTCACTGAGGCACAGTGTTCGCAGAAGGATCTGTGTTGCAGCCTGTCTCTAAAAACAGGCCGTAGATTTTCTATATAAGGCCTGCCTGGCTGGTATTATAGTCATATGTCTCTTTCTCATCTAGGCTCCTTTCCTAACACTCTGGACAGGATTCGGATTATATATATTATATGTTTATTATGTAATAATAAACTTCCATAACTCCTCCTCAATTCCTCTGCCTAATGTATCATAATATATAAAATCGCTAAAGATCAACACACATATTAAAATAAAATGCTGTAACATGGAAGCTTTAAAGGATTCAATAGCATTGGGACCAGCTAGTCGATATTACTGCATGCATGACCTTTAAAAATATTAAAGAAATTCAGACCAATTTCCAGTCCCAGACTGACAATGTCGGTGGGAGTGTCTAGAGTCCAAGTGCAATACTTTCATCCCACCAATAGTATATTTCTGTCCTGTTAAGCCTCACCGGACATCAATCTGTTGAGACTGTCTAGTTTCCACGCGCTGTAGATCTTCAATATCTCAGAACCACCCCCCACCCACCCATTTCACACATCTGTTTCATGCATTATCAACTGCGCACTTCCTGTTATCTGGCTAGCTCTTTGGCACAGACCAGCACATAAGCAAGAGCGGAATATTTGCTCATTAAGGTTCAGAGTAGCTCTCAAAAAAAAAACACAAATACTGTCATCAACATGTAGACGAGACACCTTTGTCGATCAATATAACCTTGTTTATATAGAACACAAAAATTTAATATAACTTGGTATTAAACTATAAGACTTTCAACTTAAAACTCAACCTAAATGATAAATAAATATCTAAGATTCAATACATAATACAGATTATTCTATTCTTTCCAAAATATTCTAATCTTAAATTGTAACTATATATTTTTATTAAGTCCGGTCATTTCGGCTAATATATTCTCAACCTTCTCGGTCTCGGCTGTAATATCCTAACTTAATTCATTAAATCTAGCTCCCACACCGAATAACACCGGATCTGAATATATAAGACTTCAATCACAACTCAACAAAAAAAAAAATTTAAATTCTTTATTTATTATACTTTATTCTTTAAACTTCCATTATCTCATAGCAAAAAAATAATCAGTTTTACAGAATCTAATTAATTTCAATTCATTTGTTTCCATTCATCCTGTCCTCTGTTCCCATCTAATAAACTGTATCAATTCAACAGACAACACATCCTCACTCACTCGTCCATTATTGCATGACTTACATTCACCTTTTCATTTCTCTTCTCACCATCTGCATCTCATCCTTCACCAATCCATGAACTTTATCTTTCTCCCTAATCACAACCTCTTCTAGTTCCTCTTCAACTCAGCTCAAAAAGCTCAAATTATCTTCGCTTCCCCTACATTCTTTGAAAACCTGTATTCTTCCACACACATACTATCTCTATCATCCTCCTTCCATACCATGCTTTTCTCCCGACGAAGCCCTTCCACCAACATTATCAACACTACCCCCCCCTTTTCTTCCTGATAGTTTTTTATTCTCCTCATTCAGCCAACACAAAACAGAAACCTTCTCAGAGACTCACACTCTCTTATCTTTTATCTTCTTTTCCCTCCTGCAAATTTAATCATAATGATCATTTCAAAAATAATATCCAATTAATGACAGTGTCTTCAACAAACAAAAAACCTTCACTCATGCATATCTCATTCTTTCTGCACATTACAAATGTTTTCCTTGTCTGTCCAGCTGCCAATTGCACCAAAAATCTTAAATCTCAGACATCTCTAGAAACCAAATCCCAGGAGGATCCCAGATATTGCTGTTACTGGACAGATTCGGACTTTTTAAGTTAAAATGAATCATGATTTCTCACCAATACTTAAAATTAAACGAAGAACTAAGGCTGGGTGTGGCAGTGCACCTGTAGTCCCAGCTACTCGGGAGGCTGAGGCAGGAGGATCGCTTAAGCCCAGGAGTTGGAGGTTGCCGTGAGCTAGGCAAAGAAAACAAAAATCTGTTTTTGTCTCAAAACAGAAAAAAAAAACCTTTCCTTTTTAAATTCAAAAAGTAATTCTTTCCTCTTTGTTTCTAGCCATTGAACAAAGTTTGGATCAGGACGAGAGTGGGAACCGGACCTCAGTAGATCTTCGGATACGAAGAACCCAGGTTTGAGATCAGCCTCCTTTAGAGTGAAGTGACGTTGAAGAATGAGTGTTTTTACTTTCTTCTTTCAGACTCAAACTACTTTCATCTTTACTGTCATTTTTATCCTCATGGCCTTTCTCCAAAAAAAGGGTACGGTATTTATAGAGTACATCTCCTTATTATGGAGAAAAGCCTGTTCAGCCCGTCAGCAGAGTTCTGTTCTGAAGAGCAGAGAATTGTCCAAATGATGGTAGCGTTTGTGCGGTCCTCACCTTTTAGGGGCTATGGAGCAGCAAAGAGGGGAGGGAGCAGTGCGCCCTGCTCTGGGCTCGGCCTGCTGGGCTCCGCCTGCTGGGCTCCAGCCGGATTCAGTCTTCCTCAGTGAAGCCTGTGGCTCGGGCGAATCTACCTCCCTAGACCATGGTTTTCTCTTCTTTAAATGGGGGGTGCCAGTAACACAGCAGGGTTTCCGTGAACACAGAGTCAGGTGATACGTGTGAAATTCTCGACACGGACTCTGTGCTGGGGTACGTTGCCTTCGTATGTTCTGTTTGAAGGAGTGTGATGCCTAGCTTGCGTTTCCAGATGTAACGTTCTCGCGCCCCTCGCGGTGGGGCAGTGGCCGTTACATCAGCCTGGTGTCCTCTGCGTTGCCAGCACTCGGTGCTGTCGCGGAAGTTCGTGGAGGCCATGACGGAGTACAACGAGGCGCAGACGCTGTTCCGGGAGCGCAGCAAGGGGCGCATCCAGCGCCAGCTGGAGATAAGTGAGTGCGCGTCCCGCCAGAGACACACCCCTTCCGTGGGCTCGCTTCAGAGCACTCTGAGTTCAAAAGAGGAACCCCGTCTCTATTTTACCAGTGTTGTAAACTCGAGGACCTGTTAGAGCTTCCTTTTGTTTAAATCAACCGAACCTAGTAACATTCCTTCGCGGGGACGGACCACCATTTGTTTAGCCATTCATCAGGTGATGGACATTTGGATTGTCTCCACTTTTTGGCAGTTATGAATAATGCTGTTGTGAACATTCATGTTAAATGATATTTTAATTATTATGACATTTATCCATTTAATTTTGCCTTTTCTGGCACAGACTGTGAAAAGTTGTAATTATCAGGTTTTCCCAAAAGCTTGTGTACATGTTCCTTAGAAAGCATTAACACATTTTACTCAAAAGGAAAATATTGGCTGGGTGCGGTGGCTCACACCTGAAATCCTAGCACTCTGGGAGGCCCAGGTGGGAAGATCGCTTTAGCTCAGGAGGTCGAGACCAGCCTAGCAAGAGCGAGACCCCGTCTCTACTAAAAATATAGAAAGAAATTAGCCAAACTAAAAATAGAAAAAATTAGCCGGGCATGGTGGCGCATGCCTGTAGTGCCAGCTACTCGGGAGGCTGAGGCAGGAGGATCGCTTGAGCCCAGGTATTTGAGGTTGCTGTAAGCCAGGCTGACGCCACGGCACTCTAGCCCAGGCAACAGAGTGAGACTCTGTCTCAAAAAAAAAAAAGGAAAATACTAACTGTCAAAACATGGAAAGTGTCAAGACATCTGACCCTCATTACTGGTCTTTATTTGTGTCTGTTTAGCGGATTCTGCATTTGGCGCGACCCCCTTCCCACAAGCCAGAGCTGCACCTGTAGGAAAAGTGACATGCCAAATCATCATTAATCAATTTCCCGTTTATACTTGTTTCTCACTAGTACTATCAATAAAGTGAGATTTTATTATTTATGACATGTATAAAGTTTTCCTGAGTGTTTTCAGCTGTCCTGTTGCTTGGTCTCGGGCTCATCTCTCTCATCTCTCACACCTGCCTTGCGCAGGTATTTGAGAGAGCAGAGCGACCTTGTTGTGAAGGTGCGCAGCCCAGTTAGAGTCCAGCAGCTGGCGCGGGGCGGGCAGGGCCTGGCGCCCCGATGTGCCGCGTCCTGAGTGGCTCGCCGTTGCTCTTGCAGCCGGGCGGAGCACCACGGACGCGGAGCTGGAGGAGATGCTGGAGAGCGGGAGGCCGTCCGTCTTCACGTGCGACGTGAGTGCCCGCCCCGCCCCACCCCGCGCGCGCGTGCCTGCTTGTCCACCGCCACCCGGGCGTGCGCTCAGTGACACTCTCCTTCGTTTCTGTTTTCCCAAGATCATTTCAGACTCACAGATCACCAGACAAGCTCTCAATGAGATCGAGTCTCGCCACAAGGACATCATGAAGCTGGAGACCAGCATCCGCGAGCTGCACGACATGTTCATGGACATGGCCATGTTCGTGGAGACCCAGGTGACCAGGGCGTCCCTGCCGCTCGGGGGGTCTTGTGCTCGATCTCACTGCATCTGGGAAAGCCGTCATTTTAGGTCCAGCCTCAAAATTCAAAAGTTGATGACAGTGTAACACTGAAACGCTGGAAACAGCTTAATCTTTCAAAAGTAAGGGCCTGGTCTGGTTAACTAAAAGTTTTCTTTATATTTTTATGTTTTAGAGATAGGGTCTTGCTCTGTCACACAGGCTGGAGGGCAGTGGCAGGATCACAGCTCACTGTAGCCTTGACCTCCTGGGCTCGAGCGATCCTCCTGTCTCAGCCTCCCAAGTAGCTAGGACTCAGGCATGATGCATCATGCCCAGATAATTTTTTAAAACATTTTTTTATGGAGGCAGGGTCATGCTATGTTGCCCAGGCTGGTCTCAAACTCCTGGCCTCAAGCGTCAAGTGATCCTCCCCCCTCAGCCTCCCAAAGTGCTGGGAATGCAGGCGTGTGCCACCGTGCCTGGCCCTGGGTAATTTCAGTTATGGTGTGTTCATAGGTCAGCTTTTTGGGGGAACATAAGGCAATATAAACTTCTGTGTGTGTAGAGAATTTTTAATGAAATATACAAATGTTTGTGCTAGAATTAAGATAAAAGGGAGATACAAAAGATCTTATGTATATAACCACATATATGTACAACTCTATGTAAACACATACATACATGCACGTGCACACACGGCATGAACCAGGCTGTGTAAAACAGTATTCACAGAACGAAAGAAATATATCAAACAGTGTAACAACAGTGAGGCTCTGGGAATTTTAGTTTTCTTCTCTAAGTGTATGTATTTTCAAGTTTTCTATAAGAGCATTTATTACAGCAATAATTGGGAGAAGTATCCAGAGGAATAAACCCCCAAGGGATCATCTGCGACACGAGGAAAAGCATCCACGCGGCGCGGTGCGCTCAGTCTGACCAGCGCGCAGGCGGGGGTGGGGGTGGCAAGCCCCTTCGGAGAGAGCCGGGGGTTAACGCAGTTTAAAGAGTGTAGAGCGGGAGCCGCGGCCCGCTGTCGGGGTGTGGATGTGCTCGCCCAGCTCTGGTGACCCCGAACGAGGTCCCCCGTGGTTTCAAGGTGCCGTGTGGGGCAAGGACCCTGTCATTTGTGGGTTCAGTGTCTGGGTGGAGTTCAGGCAGCCAGCAGGTGAAGTGGAAAAGTTCCCGTCAAACCACCCCAGTAAATCCCGTCCCCACCGCTCCTGAGAGTTCAGGGTCTGTTGCGGCCGGAGTCGTCCTCTCGGAAGGTTCCAGTCGGCTCAGCTTACTTTCTGAGGTGGCCCGGGCCATGCGAGGTCCCTGCGCGTGCAGGGCTCGTTCCCACGAGCCTCACTGACCTCTCAGAGAACACTGCATGGCGAGGGACCGCGCCACGGAAGCGTGTGTGGGCAGCTCAGCTACGGGCACCTGCTGCCGGCAGCTGACGCCACACGGGGATGGGACAGCGTGACTCCTTTCTGGCTGGGCGACCCGTGGCCGTCAGGGTGCAGGAGGTGGAGAGCTGGATTACCACCCGCTTCTTACTCCCGGGAAGCGTTCCAGAGGAAACCAACTAGGTCATGAGAGTGGTAGCTTCCCCTGTAGCTACTGAGGATTTTATAGCACCGCGGACTGCAAAGTTGTCTGTACCGGACGCGCCGCGCCGCGCCCCGTCAGAGACTGCTCTGCTCTTAGCTCTGTCGCTTCGGCTCCTTCGAGAGGTCTAGTAGCGTCGCCTTGTGTTCACTCGTAGAATTCGGAGTGTGTGCGTAGTCTCGGCTTACTGGTAGGTTTCACTGTGGACGAGTGAGTTAACTGTCTTCTCCACCGCTTGCTGCGCTGTGCTGCAGGTTCTCTCTGCTGGGGACGGAGGACCAGGTACCGTGCTCCCCACGCCTCACCTCGCTCACTTCCACTCACGCTTCCGCTCCTTCACTTGCCGGCTCAGTGTCGCGCACAGCTACCCTCAGTTTGCTGATACTTTAAAGAACCACAGTTTTCCTCCTGTTAGAAGAGGGTCACCCTTCGTGTTTCGTCTGTCTTGCGTGTCAGCGAACGCCAGCTTCTCCTGAAGCTCATGCTGCCTCCGCCCTGCCTCTCTGTGAGGCCAGTCCACGCACGGCGCGTCTCGCGGCCGGCGCCACACGCCTGTGACCACCAGCGTCCTTGCCCGTTCCTTTTAGTTCTTTTAAAAATGTAAATCAAATGTTGATTGCTTTGATATCTGGCGCATTTATAAATGGTCTCACGTTTTACCTTTCTGTCGATGTGAAAAGAATTCCGTTTCCATCACATGCACATTATGTTTTCATGGACGCTTTGTTATATGGCTGCTTAAGATACACGATCAAGTCATTCAAAATGTTTTCTAAGTTTGAAACTCTTCGTTTTAAGGGTGAAATGATCAACAACATAGAAAAAAACGTTATGAATGCCACGGACTACGTAGAACACGCTAAAGAGGAAACCAAAAAAGCTGTTAAATATCGCAGCAAAGCGAGAAGGGTGAGTTTGGCCTTAAAGAACTAAAGTGTGTTTTTCTTTTCATTCGGTTTCGAGTCGTAATACATTAATGTAAGCCTGCCTAAAAGGTGTTTCAAGAAATAAGAATTCCTTAAATAAATGTTCTGTTTTAAACTGAAATCAATCTTTTTGATAAAAATTCCAAAAATGATTAGATAAATTATGTTAGATAATTAGATAAAAATTAGATAAATTATGTTGAGCATACACTGATCTGTGTTCTAAGTAGTTAAAACCCTTCACAACCAAAGTCAATGCTATTTCCCTTTTCTAGGTGGGAGGAGTTTGAATTTTAGACTTCTGTTTCTTGGGTCATTATTTGGAGGTAGTTACTAATGGGATTGTAAATTCTCCTAAAAATTGTTGGTTACACATTTTATGCAATGAACATTTATTCTTACTTAGGTTATTTGCTAATTCTTTGGTTTGGAGCAAAGAAGAGAACTATTTGAGACTGTGGACCTAAAATCTCATTGTGGCACCTGCTTAAAGAGATCCTCAAAAGAATGGAGTCTCGCTGAAGGTCCACGTACTTTGCATTCAAGATGGTTGAGGGAATCTTGTGTGATTTTTCGTTTGTTTGTTTTTGTTAGTAGGGCCAAAATTTAAAACGTACATTACTAACTTAGACATTTTATCCTACTGCCTCTGAAACTTGAGAGATAGGTGTTCCACACTGTCACCTCTTTTTTTTTTTTATTATTTCAGGAAATTAGGAGAGCATAAACATCTTGGTTACATTTTATGTCTTTGCCTCTCCCTAGCGAGGGTTAGTGGCATGGCCTCCCCTCCACAGTGCTCACTCCGCCCTCAGCTGTGAGTCCACCCCCAACCCCGAGTCCCTGGAGAACAGCACCACCAGGCGAGCACCATAGTGTTCACCAGTCAGTACCACTGTGATGGCGAGGACACGTGGAGCCCATTCTTCCGATCTGTGTCACTTCACTTTGGAACGGGCTCAAGCTCAATCCAGGAGAATATAAGTGGTGCTAGATCACTGTCGTTTCTTAGAATTGAGTAATGTTCCATCATATACATATGCCAAATTTTAATAATCCACTCATGAATTGACGGGCACTTGGGTTGTTTCCATGTCCTTGCAACAGTGAATTGTGCTGCCATAAACATTCGGGTGCAGACGTCACCTCCTTTTGTTGATGTGCAGGGACACTGAGGTGCCGTGGGCTTTGTAAACGATTCCCCCTGTACCTGGTTCTGAAGTGTTGGGTGTGAATGAAAGTTCTTCCAAGAAAACCATGAAACCACAGTTTAAGTTCCGAGGGGCTAGGAAGCTCTCCGAGTCTTGCTGTGTCCCGCCCGCCAGCCCCCATTCTCCCTGTGGTGTGCAGGACCGACACGTGGCACCAGGCCGCTGCGCGGCCTTGTCATCGCTCCTCGCTGAAGAGGACTTGCCGTCCCGGGAGGGTGGGGCTCAGCGCAGGTGAGCAGGAGAGGTGTTCACGGTGCGAGGAGGGAGCAGCGAGGCCGTGTACGAACAGTGGGCGTGGGCTGTGGCGCCAGCCCACAGAGCCCCACCCACCGTGGGTGTGTCTCAGTGTGATCAACAAATTATGAGACACTGTTTCTCACATTGTCTTGTGTGATTGCTTCTTAAAATGTTGACTCTTACGTAAATTTAGGTGATAGATACACACACAAAGTGCTTAGCTTAGTTCCAGGCACAGAGTTGACCTTCACCAAAAATGGCAGTTCCCTCCTGTTCTCCGTGGCCTAAGCGTGCCAGCCCAGTGAGAACTGTAGTGCAGGTTCACTGATTTTATGGAGAAGAGAGACGGTGGGTCTGACGCATTCTCGTTCTTACCCGCTGATGAGTCAGCTGGCTGCGTAGGGTGCCGGCGTCCGCGCAGCGCCACGTGGTGTCTGCCTGACGAGATGCCTGAGAACGAAAGCCGCCCGCCCGCCCGCCTGCCCCTGCGAGTGTGGCCCTGCTGCCGCCTGCTCTCCTGCCACGTCTGCCCCAGAGCGGCTGACCCCGACCCCACCTGGCGTCCCGCGCTCGCCCCGGGCAGCTGCGCGTGGCCCTGGGCCGGCAGCACCATGGGGACGGTGTTGTCCCCACGCGGCAGGAGCAGCCCCGCCACCAGCAGCACAGGGCGACACCAGGCGGCGCGGGGCGTCCTGCGAGGACGGCGGGTTCTCTGTATGTGAAAAGGTACCTGTGCCTCAGTCCCTCACAAGGCACCACGCCAGTGTGACCACGCTGCTCCCCCACGAAGCCTGACACCTAGGAGTCCATAGCCGGTCCTCTCCGCGTCACCTGACTGCAGTAAGTTAGAGTTACTCCTGTTGAGAACTAAGAATTGCCAGACAGGAGTAGGCAGATGTCCTGTAACTTAGTTCTTATGGATCGTTTTATTTTAAATGAAGGCCGTCCTTTAACGTGGCAAATGACATTAACCGTGACGTTGCTTTCCTTTGACAGAAGAAATGGATAATTGTGGCTGTGTCAGTGGTTCTGGTTGTCGTGGTTGCGCTAATTATTGGTTTGTCAGTTGGCAAGTGATGGCGTGGAGGACGTCAGAGTGCATGCCTGCCTGCCAGGGCGGCAGTAAGTAACCAATTAACTCATTTCCTTACTAATTTTCGCAGTTAGCCAATAACAGTGCTTGCCCAATTTTAATAGACTTACAAATAATAAAATGTTACTTGTGTCACTTCAGGGGGACAGTGGCCAGCAGCAGCTCTGAGGTCTCTTTGGTCTGTTTTCAGTCTGGGGAGAGCGTGTCACTCTCCCCTTCACTGAGTGCCACAGCCACGCCAGTGAAGGCTTATCTCAGCTGAAACGCTAACATCAGTAGTTTATGTCTCCACTTTAACTTTCAGAATAATTGCAACTGAAGGTTATTAATGCTTTGTAAAATATACTAACTAGTTTTACTGTGGAATTGAGAGAATGGATCTAAAGCTAAGAAAAACATTGACTAAAATTGAAATCCTTTGTTGAACTTTTTTTTTTTTTTTTTTTAAATTTTTGAGACAGAGTCTCCCTCTGCTGCCTAGGCTGGTCTTGACTCAGTCGATCTTCCCGCTTTGGCCTCCCAAAGTTCTGGGATCACAGATGTGAGCCACCTTGAACTTTTCTGTTTGACACCATCTATTTTGTTTAAAAATATTTTCTTACTAAAACAAAAACCTTGTATTTTGTTAGCATGCCTGTTAATTCTTAATTAAAGGATTCTAAATAAAAGGTACTCAATTTATTTCAAGGATCATTTTTTGTTGTTGTTCACTATATGGCTAGCAACTTTCCCCAAACTTCAGTTGAGTTTGTGTTTTCCTTCTGGTTTTCTTATGTGGTGGGAGTCTTCCTCCTTGGATTAACCCTTAAGTTAGGCTGCTTCCTGGCCGATTACGCATGGACGCGCCGGCCATTTCTTTGCGGATGTCTGCTGGTGTAGCTGTTGTGATGAGGAGACTGATGTGCCCGGGGCGCCTAGACTGGGACCGTCCGTCCCTGCTGAGTCCGTCCTCGTATGTGGGGGCTTGCAGGGCGAGTGTCATGACTGCTCTTCAGTCTTTGAGATCATTTCTGTGACGCTGTGACGTCTGTGCAGCGACACTTGAGGCGGTGGCGGGGTGGCTCTGGGAGGCCGTGCTTGCCGACGTCCCTGTCTCGAGGAGGCAGAGAGGCCCTGAGCGCTCTGTTGTGCGGCAGGATGGTCGTGTGCCTGTCCTCAGTCTTTCCTCTTAGCTCCGCTGAAAAGAATGGCATATGTCATCTTTTCACTAATATAATGGTGTTTTCCAATATTTCCGTGATTCTTTCTAAAATACCTGTTTTCTTAGTTTTTCCTAGTGGCCATACTGTGGTTACATTAGAGATGAAATCACAGTTTTAGCGTGGACTCGGTGGAGCGCACGGCTTTTCCCGGGTGCTGCTGAGTGCTGACGTCGCCTCACGGGAGGCCCCTGTCCGCAGCCCGGAGCAGGCCGAGCCTGTGCCCCGGCCAGCCGTTCCAGCCCCGCACCTGCAAACAAGAACGAGCACAAAACACAGACCCCAGTGCGCCCCAGCAGGTGCTTTTGTATATGAAGGCAGTGATTGAAGTCTTTATGCTTTTAAGACTTTAATGTGTTCCTTCACCCTTTAGCAAACTGCCTTCCTCTAGGCTGGGCACTGTAGCCACCTGCCTGCCGTGCCAGGGTGCGGGCTGCTTTGTAGCGGTGACCCTGATCCCCACCACCCTGCAGTGTGCGGGGAGCCCCGTTTTGCATGTAAGGAGACGGGTGGAGATTTGTAGACAGCCAGGGCAGGACCACGACTCACACTCACAGCTGGGTTGACTCCCGGCTGTCCTCTCTCCACCAGGTGACGTAGCAGATGCTGCAGGTGTGATCAGAGCACAGGTCCAAGGCAGGATCAGGGCCGGGCCACCCGGTGGCCTCGTGGGAGGTGTCAGAGGCCAAAGGAAAAGTGTCCTGTGGAGGGTGCTGAGGAAGGTTCGCAGTCAGACACGCGAGGAGGGTAGGGAGTGGCTGGGGCTCGCCAGGAAATATTTGAGGGGAGTAGCACTTGAAGGAGGGTATTGTCCCGAAGGCAGCTCCCGCAGGTCACGGCAGGTTCACCTCCATAATCGTGCCTTCATCAGCCGAGTGCGAGCGTGCTGATTCTGGTGCAGACCTGGCCGTGTCCAGGTGCTGCAGATGTGATTTTGTAGATGAAAATGTGGCGTGCAGCTGGTAACCGCAATTTAAAATGATGACTCTTTGCTTTTCAAAGAGAACAGCATGATGTGCCCCTCATTTCTGTGTCTTCCTTCTCGTCTCCCTCACACAAGCTTCCTGGAGACCAGGCTTCCCAAGCCAGAGGTGACCTAACTTTCAGTGGCGTGGGGATGCTTGTTAATAAAAAAAAAACTTAAATACTACACTGTGTCTGCTTCTAGGCTGTGAATGCAATGAAACGCTGAGCTAACGTCTTTTTTTTTTTTTTTTTTTGAGACAGAGTCTCACTTTGTTGCCCGGGCTAGAGTAGGTGCCGTGGCGTCAGCCTAGCTCACAGCAACCTCCAACTCCTGGGCTCAAGCGATCCTCCTGCCTCAGCCTCCCGAGTAGCTGGGACTACAGGCATGTGCCACCATGCCCGGCTAATTTTTTCTATATATTTTTAGTTGGCCAATTAATTTCTTTCTATTTTTAGCAGAGACGGGATCTCACTCTTCTTGCTCAGGCTGGTCTTGAACTCCTGACCTTGAGCGATCCTCCCGCCTCGGCCTCCCAGAGTGCTAGGATTACAGGCATGAGCCACCACACCCGACCTTGTTGGTTTTTTATACATGTTCGTCTTGCTTAAATGTAAAAAAATGGGTAGATAGGATTTTTTTCAGCCAGTGAGAAATAGTTTCATTTAAAGTTTTAAAAAGATATACAATGCATCCAATTTAGAGCAGGTCTGGAATTTTATTATGATCAAAAGAAAGTGTTTATTACAAGCCTACATGGTGCCTTTTCCTTCCAGGAGCAAATAGTTGTTTTAATGACACATATTTTATTAAATTAATTTAATTTAACATACATGTGTCTAGAACTTAACCTTTGCCTTTGGAGTTTTCCATTCCCCTCCCTTTTCTGTGACCTTGAGAGTTTCTTTCTTGATAATGAACTTATCTTTTAAAGTATCCCAAATTCCAGAGGGGTTTTGTTAGCAGATGGCATTGTTGATTTCTTTGATACATTGAAAATTAATGTTTTTCTTTATCTTGCAGAAAATGATGTTCATTATTATTTGTGTAGTTGTATTGCTTGTGATCCTTGGAATTATCCTAGCAACAACATTGTCATAGCAACCTCATCCCGAGAGCTGTTTATCCTTGGAGATTCAGACCACATCTGCAACAAAGCCAACGGTCTGTCGTTAAAGGAATGCGTCTTAGACGTTGTGGCGGGGCGTTGGGTGTGACTTTTTAATTAGTGAGTTCAAGGAGAAAGCACCGCAGAATGTCTTGTCCAGTGAAGCACTGAGCAGCATGGATGTGAGGGGTGAACTCGAATGTCCTCGAACTCTAAATGACACACCACAGAACTTTAGCAACGTGAAACTTGTTTCTATGGCCTTGAAATAAGAAATTATTGAAAATTTCAATTTTTTAAAATATTTCAGTGTTAAAAATGTATGTGAAGTTTAATTAGGAATACTTTTATGTTGTGAAGCTATTAGATTTCAAGGCTATGACTTTGCTTCCTACCCTTCTTCTAGCTAATGTATACTAATTAAGAGACTTTTTATACTATGTTTAATTTGTGTTCACTTATTGTTTGAAGAAACAATTTTTATCACAGAGCTGTTTTGTAAGATATCTGTAATTTTAAATGTTTATAAATTGTTTAATATATTAACATCTTAATTTATCCCATTTTATACACTAAACATTGCCTTTTGAATGAAATAGGAAGCTTCATGATATTTGAACTGTCTTTGTACAGTTGTTTACAGAGTTTGCCGTTGTCATAGGAAACGCCGGTTGCAAAGCCGCGCGAACATCCTCTCAGGTGCCTTCTGTAACTTGCGCTGGTCGGTAAGGTGGGAATGCGCCGGATACCCTCCAGAAAGGTCTCGGATGTGTAGCCCCCTTTCCACCTGTTCATCGGCCCCGGGTAATAAACTATTAGTGGCTGCGCTGTAAAGACGACGGCCTCTTCTTTGTCACTGAACGTGGGGTTTGTGTTTCCCTTAATATATATAAAAATATATATTTTATATATATTAACCTGAACCCTGTCCAGGTTAATAAGCCTGAAGTTACGATGGTGATGAAACCGAGATTTAGTACTCTTTAAACTCAAGGAAATTATTCCTAGACATTAAGCAATTCTTGTAAATTTAAAGTATTGTACAGATCACTTAAATGTTCGTGTTAAGTACCTAATATTTTGCCGAACTTTAAAAGTTAATTCCCAAAGTTTATAGGGATCTATGATAGTTAAACATTTTTATTGCTCATTAGTGTTTTTAGGATGATAAGAGGATTTATTTTTAGCTTATAGTACGTGTGAGCTGGAGAATGCACATCTATTAAGACAGTCACGGTCAGAATTCTAAATGAACGTGTGAAGGATACCCACAATGTAGTTGCCTCTTGCCACTCCCCATGTGATTGTGTAAGCATGTGACTATATTTTAACATTGTTTGGCTCGAAACCAATGTATCTATGCTTGATTCAAACAATAAGTCTGGGTAATATTGGGCAGTTTAGAAACTGTGTTCCTTATTTAATACAATTATGAATTTCACTCGTTCATAACTTACCCATCCATCTGCTTCGCTTAGACCCAAGTCTGTATGTAGCATTTCATGACTTGCCGTTCCTCACTGTGTGCTCAGAATTACTGTAGGAGTATTCTGGAGATACATATATGTGTGTGTGTTTGTGTGTATATATATATATATATATTTGTTTGTTTGTTTTTGTTTTTAAATAGCCTGCCAGTAGTCTGTGCTCACTGATTTGGGGTTAAGCTGAAGGTATACCTTGTCTTGAAGGGCATCTCCGTATCCAGAGATCATGCTTGTACGGATACGACCTCCACACGCCTGTTTGCGTAATCATGTCCATGTGCAGGGCCTCTGGGCTCCTGGGAACCTGTCTGTGTTTATGTCCCGCTTCAAGCTGCATCTTCTCAGTCCTTGCCTCTCAAAATGCTTCTCGTTGTATCTTTTCAAATTGTTCTTCCTAGATTTGAAGTACTTACTGAATTTGTGTTTTCATAGTTGAAGTTATGGAAATGTTCTTTGATTGTATTTAGCTATTTAAGTCAGTTATCTAATGGCATATTTGTATGTCTAAGCCTCATGTACCTACTATTTGAAATCAGATTTTTAAAAATATATTTACAGATTCAATTGTTACTTTTTTATCATTTCTTCAAATATTTCGTGTTTACATTTAAAAACATTTCCAGAGAAGCAAAAAAGAATTATTTACTTTCTGCCTTGCCATGTCTGGAAAGATTTTTGGAAAGCTATTTTATTGCATATCCATTAATAAATTGTTATACTAAGAAAATTACTCTTATGTGTGGCTGTTATTATGTATAGTAACATGAGTGAGTGATTTTAAATGTTTCTGATAACTTTTTTGATTAATGTTATAGGGTTCATGGCTCAAGTGTCAGTACCATATAATAAGGAACTCAACCTAAATTCTTGCTATTTATAACAAACACTACTTCAACAAATTTGGGGTGTATCTCAGACTCACTTGGTTTGAATTTTTATGTTAATTTGACATGTTCTCCTTAACATTTATTGGTGGGGGCAAATCCTCCCCCCACCATGTTCTTAGTTATCTATCTTCCATATTTTTCCTAACCCTCTTTCAGAGTTTTTCTTATTAAGTAGAATTTCTTCCTCCCTTCCTTCCTTCCTTCTTCCTGAGATGGGGGGGGGGTTCTCTCTATGTTGCCCAGGCTGGCCTCGAACTCCTATCCTTAAGCGATTCTGCCTCAGCCTCCAAAAGTGCTGGTATTACATGCATGAGCCACTGTGCCAGGCTTTAAGTAGAATTTCTTTAATTCCTTAACCCTTACTGAATTCTAACCATGTTGGAAAGTGGCATTCAAAAACCAGAATTTTAAGCAAAGAAAAATAAAGTAGTTCTGGAGAAAATTCATGGAGGTTGATCCCTACACATTAATTTTATTCTCATATTCCTGTATTTCTTTTGCAGTGAATTTCCTTTCAAATCACAACCTTCACATGCACATTCGGTAATTTGTTTACGATTTTTAAAGAAAACAAAGTCTGTCACCTAAAGGACTTATTTTAGGAATTTCTTCAGTAAATGTAAACTCACATTCTTCCGTGAGTTTAAAGAGCGGATTCCACGGAGATGGGATTCAAACCAGAAAGTCCATGTGGAGCGGAGAGGTGCGGAGGGGTTGGGGAGGGGGCCTGGAGACCCCCGCTCCGGTGGCGGAGTCTCCTGGCGCCTGGCGACAGCAGAGCCACACCCGGCGACCACAGGGGGAGGCCGCAGGGGCAGGCAGGGCTGGGCAGGTTCCACGACCCAGGCAGATGCAATTGGCTCCTTGGTGACTATCCTGGTTAACAAACTCACACGTCTGTTAATACAGAGGCCAGTCTTCATGGAAAGGACAGACGGGACAAGGAGCAGCTCTTAACTGAGCAGAAAACCCCACCTCCCAGGGACGCCGAGAAGTGCAGCGTGGATTTTCCCAGTCGGTTTGGCAGGTCAAGACGTGACGCGGTGAGTGCCCGGAAACATCACACGTAGATGCTGACTAAGTTCCAGCTTCACGCTTTGTGGAGGTCCGTCTCGGGGTGTGTGGCGTGGAGGCGTGAGCACGGCACGGGGCTATACGCGGCCCGAGCCCTCGGAGGAGGTGCCCAGCGACGAACGCCCAGCGGGACGTGTTCAGCACGCGGTGTGTGTCACCCTGTTGGTTTGTTTGTTTTTTTTTTTTTTAGACAATGTCTCACTCTGTTGCTTGGGCCAGAGTGCCGTGGCGTCAGCCTCGCTCACAGCAACCTCAGACTCCTGGGGCTCAAGCCATCCTCCTGCCTCAGCCTCCCGAGTAGCAGGGACTACAGGCATGCGCCACCACGCCCGGCTAATTTTTCTATATATTTTTAGCCAATTAATTTCTTTCTATTTTTAGTGGAGACGGGGTCTCGCTCTTGCTCAGTCTGGTTTCCAACTCCTGACCTTGAACGATCCTCCCGCCTCGGCCTCCCAGAGGCCGAGGATGACAGGCGTGAGCTACTGCGCCCGGCTGAGAAGTACTTATCTTCTAGGGTCATCAAACAACCACAGCTTTCATGGCCTTAAACTCACTTAAAGACACTAATATGTTCAAATATCTGGCAACCGGTGCCCTTTTGGAGGATTCGGAAGCAGAGGAAGGTTTTCAGGGGCGTGGGGTGAGATCGGCACTGTGTACTCAAAGCCTATTTCTTCCCGGGCTCTCCTCTGT